TTCGAACTATGAACTTGACGCATTTATTTCCATCTTTTTGTGAAGTTAAAATTGAGTAATATCTTATAGGGGTTTTAATTGGATATGACGTATGTACCAACTTAATTATTTATGGACAGAAACAAATCAATTACTAAATATTTTGATCTTATGTGATATAAATATTAAATAACTACTGTTTATTCATACATTTTCTTTTTCCCACAGTAAAATTTACATTAAGCATAAAGGTATAAAAAATTATAAATATTTTTTTCTACAAGTTYCAATATCTGGAGTAATTATCCTGGGATATTTAGTAGGTTTATTACTGTAAGGAAGCGTGTGATTGGTTAGAACACGTATATATTAATGTGGTTACTAAACTTTATATAATGTGTCACCCATCCAGAAACTAGTGACACCTGCTGATGCTTAACCTCAGAATACATTAGTACTAAGGATAAACACCACGTAATGCCAGGCTGCATAGTTTATAGAATTCAAATTCACAACCGATAAATAATATTATGGTTAAAATATTATCCTCAATATTAAACTATGTAATACTGTTACTACGAGTATATTATTTTAATATAATTTAATATTTTTTCCTTGAACCTTACATAATATATGACTATTAAATTTTAGGAGCGTTGTTTACACATGACCAGATCAATAGCAGCCTCGAAATAGCATTTAAATTTGCAGTCGATCAAATAAACCGCGATGCACATCTCTTACCACACACCCAAGTATCTTACGATATCCAGTACGTACCACATGATGACAGTTTTTAYACCATTAAAACAGGTACGGTAACTTACAAAATTAAGACGATTATATTATCATCGTTTCTTAATCGATTAAACATAAATAGCATGTAGCCAACTCGATCTCGGCATCGCAGCTCTGTTCGGCCCGAGTAACAGTTACTTGGCATCACATCTACAGTCTATGTGCGACACTCTGGATTTACCACACATAGAAGCTAGACTTGATTTAGAAATGGACCCCAAAAGGTTATCGATCAATTTGTATCCAAAACAAAGTCTCCTGAACCAAGCTTATAGTGACGTTATATCATTTTTAAACTGGACGAAAATGGCCATTATATATGAACATGATTACGGTAAAATAGTATGCTATAAAATTTTTAATTATTAACCTGAACATTCAGTGATTGTGTATTACGTATTATCAATGGTACAAAATTTAAACCATACACAACAATTTTTGAACTCTCTCTCTCTCTCTCTCTCTCTCTCTCTGAACTCCTTAGAATAATCCCAAAAATTACATTGTCTTACTATGTGTTTAAAACTTCGATACGTATTGTTTTTAGTAAGACAGTCTTGCACTATAGTAAAGTTTTAWCATTAAAACATGTATAACTTAGTAATAGGAATTGTTGTTCATTATTAAGTTCTCTATTGAGATAATCTRCTGAATATGACAATTAATAGGTAGGCAGTAATTTTAGCCAATTTTATTTCATAAGATGCAACTAAAATTAATTATTAATGATGGTTCATTACATTTTTATATCCAACAAATAATTAGTATAATTATTTTGCAGTTATTGACTCACGATGAACGATGTACCTTGTAACGTGATTTTCGTACTAAAATTTTAATGAATTTGCTTTTCGATGATATTACGATTCATTTTAGTTTGTGTCAACTCGATTTTAATTTTTTCTCTGAAGTTAATAATAATTGTCAATTAACTGAATTACATTAAACCACAAACTTTGTCTCCTAACATTCAATTATTTTCAACACTTCACCGTTCACCATCTAATTACCCCAATATTTAATTCCAAACTGCTCGCTCAACGCCCATATTAACATAACACTTAAATGATTTAATGCACAGGCTTTTATGCTTATTATTTATTAGTTATATTTTATAATAACCTACATCGGAAATACATGACGCATCACTTGACTCCAAGTTACCACTTCCTGTAGGGGCTAAGTAAATTGGGTCCATGATAAATTTGGTAAATTTTGAAGTTGGTAAATTGAGTCCTGAGAAAAAACAGGTAGTAATCAACTAAGTTGAGCCCTGGGGACAAAAGGTAGTAAGTAAGTTAGGTACCAAGATAAAAATAATTGTAAATCCCAGCTATTAACTAAAAACTAAATCTCATAAGATTATATAATTATATACTTAATTTATATTAATTAAAAATATTACGAATACAAATTAATAAAAAATAATAAATGCCATTATTAATATATTTAATATATAATATACATGTATATTATATATACGGTAAAAACATAATTAATATTGATTTATTAAACTCAAACCGGGTTTTAACATTACTGGTATATTTAGTCATTTGCTTCCCTGTATAATATAATATAATAATTGACATCGGAATAAGTCTAGGTCCAAACCCTGGAAATTAATCCAACACAATAGAATTTTTCAAAACAATAAAAATGATAAACCTACTGTAAGTCACAACTAAAATATTGTACAGCCAATGGCCTTCGCTGCCGAAGCTTATTCTAATAAAAAAATAAAATATTGTAAAATTATTTAAGATATATAACATATTTATTATTATATAATTGTATTTTACAAAAAATGAACACTAGTGGCCTGTGTTGTCGAAGCATAAATTTATTTATATAAATTTCAAGATCAATAAAAAAAAAAATATATATATAATAAAACAATTTAATTTTTTAATTAGTTTCTGGGACTAACCATTTCTGTGCAACAATATTGCATTACCTATTTGGGGGCTTAGGTGACTTAGCCTTTTTCAAAACTCTTGAAATCTCCCTCACCCCTAAGTATTTTTCAACTTGTAAGTATTATAAATTATTTCAATAGGTGTTAATATATATTTCTAGCCCCCTCTCTAGATTTTTAACCAAATTTACGCCTGTGGTTATTTTTATATTTCTGTTGTAATAAAACAKAAACCTTCTATACAATCACAATTACGTCATGTAAGTACACATTTAATCGTGCGTTCGTACAATCGATGTTTGCTATTTCAGATTTATTTAGAATGAAAGATTTCATGAAAACCGTGCCTGACAGAAAAACGGTAGAAGTATACTTGCGACATGCCACACCAGATACATACAGATCAGTACTGAATGAGATCAAAAACATGGAGATTTATAATATGCTGGTCGATACAAAATCGGAACATGTAGATCATTTTCTGAGAGGTGTAAGTCAAACGATTAAATTCCGTTTACATCGTTAATTACTTTTATGTTAATATTTTTATGTTTTCATTCGACGTTATTTATTCTCATAATATAGATACTACAACTCCAAATGAATGACTACAAGTTTCATTATCTTTTTACATCATTTGTAAGTACGATTAATTAATTATTTTGTATCTATTTAGTTATTTATTGGCTTTGATGTATATGATCCGTAATTTTATCATCTCATATTATATGAAAGTAAAATTTCAATAT